CTCTGGTCTGACATATTTTAGCATAATGTTTTCAAGGATAATCCATGTAGCAGCATATGTAAGAATACCCTTTCTCTTTATGTCTATAAATGTTCATACATAGTGTATGTATGTCAGGAGCCCCCGGTGGTCTAGTGAGTGAAGCGCTGGGCCACTAACCAAAAAGGTCAGAAGTTAGAAACCACCGGCTGCTCCTGGAGCTATGAGTCTGAACTGACTCAATGACAATGAGTTTTCTTTAGTTTGTTTCTTAGTATGTATGTACTCTGTTTATTGAGTCATCTGTTGATGGGTTGTTTCCACCAATTGACTATTTTTGTTGTTTAAAAATTAATATTTTTAAGGTCTGCAAAGAAAAAAAAAGATCCCAAAGAAAAAACACCAGATGAAAAAATTGACGAAATAGAAAAAATAAAGTCATGCACCTATATGGACGACGAGCCAGAAGATGATGTTTATTTAAAACGCTTATACCCACGGCAGAGATATGAGGTAGAGAAAGCTGTTCACCTACTTAAGAAATTTCAAATTCTGGACTTCACGTATCCAAAGCAAGGTGTTTATCTTGATTTGACACTGGATATGGCATTGCAGAAGAAGGTATGTAGATTCAAATAACAGGGTGAGCAATGGTTATATAATTCATATGTTTCTTAATTTAAAAAAATGTCTCCCTCCTGGATGATTATTAAAATATAACTTAGTATTATAAAATTTTGTTTAAAGTTTTCCAAATGTGAAGCATACTGCTGATGCTCTGGAGAGTGCCCCTTACTTCCAAAGCATCACTGGAATCGGTCTCAGCACAGTAGCTGTTGACATTAATTGAGGCCTTACTGGAACTGCGGTGAGCTTAAGCTGCCTGAGTGTTATGTTCCTCTTCTGAACAAGGGCCTTGAACTAGCACCGTGGTTTTTAGCTGTGCCTCTCAGAGTCCTAGGGCGAGACTCTGGATGGAGGAGTTTCCAAGCCCTGCATTCTTCCTTCAACATGAGTCTTCTTTACCTGTTTATGTGAGCTACTATGAGTTCTATGTAAAAGTTTTACTCAAATTAGGAAATAACCCTTAGATCTACCTGTTATTGATGCTCGGTGCTGTTGAGTTGCTGCTTATTCATGCTTACCTGTAGGTACAACAGAATGAAACACT